ACATCAGCATCGACCGATTAAAACCAGCATATGTTTGGGTAAGTGACGAACCAGCAGAGGTGACACCGACATCACCGAAGCAAAAACAATGTCCGATGGAAAAACAGCCAGTCAATCTCCACGAAGAACCTCAACCGCCACAACGGTTGAGGCCAAAACGAACCATAAGGAAACCCGTACGCTTTCATTAAACGGTGAGTACTGTGGTGCCTTCAGGCACAACAACAACCTACATTTATTTTTAGTTATAATTATTCTTCTTTGGGCACTGTAAGAACTAGTTTTAGTTTCACTCATTATTGTACCCCGTTATAATTTAATAAACGACGATGAGAGCACTTTGCGGTTGTCGCATTGCTTTTGCTTTTACTTCCATTCCATTCGTTGGAAACAACATAAACTTAAGAAGAGTACAAGCAAGCGGCAATTTTTTAATCCTCATCCAACTACTAAAGAAGTAACTAGTTTCGATTTGCAACTCGTGACCTCCAAATGCATACTAAACGAAAGGGAAATAAATTTTCTTTATAAAGAAAGTACGATAACAGTATCCTAATAGGGCTACTTTTGAAGAAAAATCAGTTTAAAGGGAATTTTTTCATATATTTTTTTATAAAAATTTGGATCAGAAATGTGAAATGAAAGGGGAATTAATTTCCCTTAAAACGGTATAATAACTTTTACAAACGATTCGCTACTTTTTGAGATATTACGGTTTATCAAAAAGCATATTTCGATCTTTGACCTTCGATATCTCGCTTAATTTTAATTTCCGTAGGTAAATATCACATAGTAGGTAGTATCATTATAATCAGTGCATAAAGCTTTATCGATTTCTGGCTTTCGAAAACCAGTTTAAGCAACGAAAGCATGTTTTCGATGTCGGCATAGTATAGTAATGCAGCGTTTTTGCTGCATTTAAAATGCAACATTTAGCACTTTCGAACAAATGTTTTCGAAGAGCGTTCATGCTATCGCATTTACCAGATGTACATTTACGCGAGTTCGAAATCGCATGCTTTTGACAAACAGCCGTGTTCCAGGCTTATTCGCATCCGCATCTATTACGATCAATTCTCACGAAAAAGATAATGTCCAAAAAACCCTCCTGAAAAGGAAAAAAATAAAAATTAAACCAAAACTTCAATACAAAAACTTGAATTATTTTAACATAACCGAAAATTTGTGTATGTATGTATTGATTTGTCGGTGCTGTCAATTAAAATTTCATTACCTAATTAGGAAACAAAACAAACAGAGATGATCACAAGTTGATCCAGATTTCTATCAGCATCACATCGATGTTGAGTTTGCATAACTTTTCTTTATCCAAATAATGTAAAATAATAAATGAAATCTTGTTTGGCGATCACAGAAATGCATCTAGCCATTGTATACGCGAAAACAATGTTGCCACTTTTTCTCATTAACCATGTTCGGATCGTGGAAATTTTGGAAGATCACTGGGTTGCTTTTAGCATTTAGATTCTTAATGCAAAAATGAAGTAGCATTTAATTGCATTTAGGTGACGAATTTTGTATGGAAAAATGTACATTTGGATTAGCTCCAAAATTCCCACGATTCGAACATGATTTAATGGAAAAAGTGGCAACACTACCTTTTCGCGTATACAGTGGCTAGCTGCGTTACAGTGATCGCCGATCGAGGTTTCATTTATTAAGGTATCCACAAACCTACGCGATTTTGTCGGTGCGAATCTGTTCCGACAAAAATTACAACAATGCCGAACATAGTTTTAAATGAGGAACCACACACTTGTGCGATTTTGCTGCAGCGATTTATTCGAACATACAGAGTTCTTCTTTTGGTCGTGCCGAAATGGCAGACTGCTGCGTTTGAAAACGAAGAGGTCAATAGGACTTTACAATATTTAAACGAAATTGAGCGTAAGAAAAGAAAACATATTTGATTTAGAAAAGTCAAGAATTATATTTTTGTTGACAAATACTTCTGGTTTGTCTATAAATTGACAGTTTTATGCGTACTTGAGTTTTGGAAGTTACTGCGTCTGTAGCATCAAAACGGAGCGGATTCGTTGCGACGGAATCGCATAGGTGTGTGGATGCCTTTATTTTACATTATTTGGATTAAGAAAAGTGACGCAAATTCAACATCGATGTGAAGGGACACTCAAACTGACGCGGTATTGGAAGTGCGGTGCCTTGNAACATCGATGTGAAGGGACACTCAAACTGACGCGGTATTGGAAGTGCGGTACAAGGCACCGCACTTCCAATACCACGTCTGTTTGAGTGTCCCTTGATGCTGATAGAAATCTGGATCAATTTGTGATCAACTCTGTTTGCTTTGTTTTCTAATTAGGTGAGGAAATTTTAATTGACAGCACCGACAAATGAATATATACACAAACATATGTTCGGTTATGGTTAAAACAATTCATGTTTTTGTATTGAATTTTTGGTTTTAAATTCATTTTTTCCTTTTCAGTAGGGTTTTTTGCACATTATCTTCTGCGTGAGAATTGATCGTAATAGATATGGATCTGAACAAGCCACTAGAACACGGCTGTTTGTCAATAGCATGCGATTTCAAACTCGCGTAAATGTACATTTGCTAAATACAATAGCATGAACGCTCTTCGAAAACATATGTTCGAAATTGCTAAGGGCCGGTTGTTCAATGTCTGATTAGCACAAATCGGAGATAGAAGCTCCGGTTAAGCACAACTACTGCTTTATCGATCACATGTTACATGCATGATGTCGAAATCGTCGATGGTGTACTGGTAGTGATAACCAGACATTGAACCACCGGNTGCTTTATCGATCACATGTTACATGCATGATGTCGAAATCGTCGATGGTGGACTGGTAGTGATAACCAGACATTGAACCACCGGCCCTAAGTGTTGCAGTTTAGATGCAGCAAAAATNACATAAAACTTTTGCTTCGCTTTACGTGACAGATTCGCTTTGACAGATAAGATGAATTGTATGAAAATGCACAAAGCATGCCACATAAATCGTTGAAGCTGCAGCGCGAAGCGAAAAGATGGCCAACTCCCATCTTTTTGCGCGCTTTGACAATCAGCCGGTTTAATATTTATTTTGTTTCGTCCAAATTCGGGTTTTCATGCAGAAACATAAAACTTAATTACATTGCTGATAATTTTAAAGCAAAATATATAAAATCCACAGCAACTTTTACGAGTAAAACAGCGGTACAAAATTGCTTTCTTGGCGTTCATTGTGGCATACCTTTTGCGTCTGGCGCTTTGCTGGCGAAGTTATAAATGTCACGCAAAGCTACAAAGTTTTATCTGGCATCAGCTTAAGTGTTGCAGTTTAGATGCAGCAAAAACNTTAGATGCAGCAAAAATGCTTCATTAGATTCGTAATGCAAAAATGGAGTTACATTTAGTTGCATTTAGGTGACGAAGTTTGTATGGATAAATGTAAATTTAGAGTAGCATTTAGAGCTAAATGCGTTAAATGTGCTTTTACTCGTAAGCAAAAACAGGCTATAAAATAAGATTTAAATACGCCCTTTTGACGTGCGAGTCTAAACTTAGCGTAAGGCACACCGACGGGTTAAATATTAACCCTATGGGCTACTTTGACTAGAAACAGCATTCAAAACAACAAGTGATAAATAAGTGGATGGCAAGTTTTTAAGCTAAAGCAGTGTGTTTCTAGTTAGACCTCTTATTTCGGCGCGTGTTGAGTTTGATTAGTGGCAGCTTGGATCAACAAGAGATACCTTCCAGCAATAACACATTGCATTCCAGGATGCCTAATATAAAAGTGTTTTCCGGCACTTCTCATCCAGATTTAGCCCAAAGAATAGTTGATCGTTTGGGCATAGATTTGGGGAAGGTAGTGACCAAGAAATTCAGTAATTTGGAGACGTGGTGAGTGCAAATAAGGACGCATTTTGCAATGCTCAGTTTCCGATTATCCAATATCAGATGTGTTGCATGCAAGAAAGACTAATGAAATTAAAATTTACGGTAATTATCTAGGTGGGCTTTCAATCCCAAAATTGGTCAAAATTTTGGAAATGGGATGCCATTAGACGCATCTGGACCCCAATAACAAGAATCCGAAAACGGATTTTTTTTACCAGATCAACAGTTATTAACAAAAAATTTTGGGCGTTGAAAGCCCAACTAGATAATTACCTAAATAAAAAAAATTTGTGGAGTTGGCTTTCCTTTACGGCCGATTTTGTTCCACTTATTACTACGGAATCGGTGCAGGGATATTAATGTTTATCACATGTTCACGTTGCTAAAGGATCAAGCTCAGCGCCTTCATCTACTCAAAACAAAGGAAAACGAATATACTGAAAACCTCGGAGATCTTTCAGGAGTAGAAGTTTGATAGAACTAGTTCAATAAATAGAATGAAGGACCTAGCTCGAAATTTAAAAGGTACTTCTCATGATTAAATAATAGTTGCGATCCCGTACGAGTCCGGACTAGTCAGAAATAGTCAGAATCAGTCAGATTTTACTGGAAATCGATCCCGTGCTCGGTTCTCTGATTATTGAGAGGACAAAAAGAGAGTAAATACGGTCAGAAGTTACCAGTCTTAGTCCAAGAATTTTTTGCTGGTAAATTCTGGTAAATGTGTCAAACGATCAGCTGTAGTGTGTTTGGCAATCAAATTGTAGACAAAGGAAAAGTGCACTCTGCTAATTCATGTTGCAAAGTATTTAATTACTTGTTTAAGTGGATTCTAATGAATTTTAAAGTATTTTTGGTTATTTACATGTGTGAGCTGAGTGTGTTTACATACAAAATAAGCAAACATTTACAACTAAAATTTGGAGGTTATGTTGAAGTTGACAGAAGTTACCATTTTTTAATAGAAAGCGATCCCGTACTTTCAATGTTACTCTCTCGCTCTGAGTGAATTTTAATTTTTGACAGTTTTACTAGTCCGAGTCCGAGGAATACGGGATTGCACCTAATACAAGGTTCGATAAACTGACATTTGTCTCTCTCGCACCGCTCCCTTAGCAGTGGCACCGTGTTGCTTCTTCGCAAATTTACTTGGAACAAGTGTAGCTTTGCTGTGAAATAGAAGTATAAGCTTTTGTGCAATATGTTTATTTGTATATGCATATGAAGCACATTTAACTGATAAAAACTCAAATTGTTTTCAAATTGGATGTTTACTTACCTCTCATAGTAGTTTTATTTTAATTTTGAGTCCTTTTGTAGTTTTTATACATCTAAATGACACATAAATTACATAGTTCACGTAGATATATTAATATTTCGTTCAATATTTCGTTTAAAATGCCAGATTTCCTGCAAATACAATAGAATTTACAAAAGGAATTTCACTACCTATTGCCTATTTGCGACTTTTCTTACTACCATTTTCGCAATAAGGGATTGCATTCTTGCCGTTTCTCTGTCCTTCGTAAATGCAACCTTTTGTAAGGGAGTGCCAAACCAAGAAAAGTCGCAAATAGGGTATAGGTAGTGAAATTCCTTTTGTAAATTCGATTGTATTTGCAGGAAATCTGGCTTTTTAAACGAAATATTGAACGAAATATTAATATATCTACGTAAATTATGTAATTTATGTGTTATTTAGATGTATAAAAACTGCAAAAGGACTCAAAATTAAAATAAAACTACTATGGGAGGTAAGTAAACATCCAATTTAAAAACAATTTGTGTTTTCATCAGTTAAATGTGCTTCATATGCATATACAAATAAACATATTAGGGGTATTCTCTGAGTCTTGCAAAGCCCTTGCACGGTGCACAGATTGCACGGATTGCACGGTAAAACCCGGATTTCGTATGGGACAGTTTTGCAAACCGTGCAATCCGTGCACCTTGCAAGGGCTTTGCAAGACTCAGAGGATACCCCTATTGCACAAAAGCTTATGCTTCTATTTCACAGCAAAGCTAAACTTTTTCCAAGTAAATTTGCAAGGAAGCAACACGGTGCCACTGCTAAGGGAGCGGTGCGAGAGAGACAACTGTCAGTTTATCGAACCTTGTATTATTGAATCATGTGAATCATGGGCTTCTTTCAGCCCTAGCGTAACAGTGGCCACAAACAACGAACATGTGCGCGAGCGTGCTCGGCTTCATTTTCAGTGAGCATGCTCGTCGTTTGTGGCCTGGTTTGCGAACATTAGCTCTGATCCAGTACTCCATGAACTTACAGGATTTTACACGAAGTTGCAGGATAAATGTTCCCGTACCTCAAAATCCTGTAAATGAGAGCGGCTTTTGGAGCGTTGATTACTTGATTTACTTCGAAAACTTGTTTGGCCGAATGGCGGCCTGTAACGCTGTCAAAGCAACCAGATGTCTGGTTGAAAGGTCAATGTCTGTTCCCTTAACACAAATAATTATTTCCTTAGAAAACTGTAGAAAATGTGTCAAAAACTTTCATATTCCGCCCTATGTTGAATATCGTCATCGTCAGTAAAAGTGACCATACGGCCATCGCCAGCCATGCTACTGATGCGCTGACGATCGTCGACGATGACGATATCCGCATAGGGCCGCTTTATTTTTAAATTAATGCGAAATGATGATTGCATTTAAAAGAAATGGTAATAAAGATGCATATGAGTAGTCCACTTGCATACAGCGTTATGTGATTTTATAATCGAAAGCCATAAATTTGAAAAAAACGACTACGCCAACAAGTAACATTTAAATTGAATCTTTTTTATTAATACCCATGATTCAATAATTTGTAATTTGTGACAGCTAAAATTTGACACTCCATTATCTAGATTTGTATTTTGGAAGTAGGAGAAAGGGGAAGAATGTGATAGCATTTTGCGAAAACGGTAGTAGAATGGTACCACAAAAAGTACGCGAATTTGCAATATATTTGGTGTTTTAATGGAAATACTAAACAATACATAAAAATATGCATTTTTGATTTAAGTTGTTCGTCATTTCTGGGAACAAATCAAGAATACCGAACGTTCAGCTATGCAAAAACGAAAAATGCAGATCAATAGAAGCTCTGATCCAGTACTCCATGAACTTACAGGATTTTACACGAACTTGCAGGAAGTTGCAGGAAAAATGTTCCCATACTCCAAAATCCTCCAAAATCTTGTAAATGAGAGCGACTTTTGGAGAGTTGTGTAGAGAATGAAGTTACAAAATTTTACCCGAAGTTTTTCTTCTGGTAAAATCATGAAAAGTGTCGAGCAATCACTGGTTGACGTTTTTACAGGAAGAATGTTTTTTTGTTCCCGCACTTTTTGTTGTTGCTCACTTTTTACTCTGACTTCAGAGAGTAATTTTGCTGTTTGACAGTTTTACAGGTTTTTTCACGAAAAATATTGGATCAGAGCTATTGCATTGGAAACAAGGCAGCAACGTCATTTTGTGTTGACGTGCATTAATTGAATTTTAAGTAAATGACGTTAAATTACTATATTGCATGATAAAAATATTTAAAGGTAAAACCAAGGCATATTAAAGAAGGTAGAAATGTTTTTGATATTTCTCTCTTTTGAACACCGACTATAACTACGGTGGGCAAACGCGGCTCTTTGCTTGAGGCGCTGACCCAATGCAGGCTTGCTTTGCACGCCTTGCTGACTAATTCACTTTGATTTACTTCGAAAACTTGTTTGGCCGAATGGCGGCCTGTAACGCTGTCAAAGTAACCAGATGTCTGGTTGAAAGGTCAATGTCTGTTCCCTTAACACAAATAATTATTTCCTTAGAAAACTGTAGAAAATGTGTCAAAAACTTTCATATTCCGCCCTATGTTGAATATCGTCATCGTCAGTAAAAGTGACCATACGGCCATCGCCAGCCATGCTACTGATGCGCTGACGATCGTCGACGATGACGATATCCGCATAGGGCCGCTTTATTTTTAAATTAATGCGAAATGATGATTGCATTTAAAAGAAATGGTAATAAAGATGCATATGAGTAGTCCACTTGCATACAGCGTTATGTGATTTTATAATCGAAAGCCATGAATTTGAAAAAAACGACTACGCCAACAAGTAACATTTAAATTGAATCTTTTTTATTAATACCCATGATTCAATAATTTGTAATTTGTGACAGCTAAAATTTGACACTCCATTATCTAGATTTGTATTTTGGAAGTAGGAGAAAGGGGAAGAATGTGATAGCATTTTGCGAAAACGGTAGTAGAATGGTACCACAAAAAGTACGCGAATTTGCAATATATTTGGTGTTTTAATGGAAATACTAAACAATACATAAAAATATGCATTTTTGATTTAAGTTGTTCGTCATTTCTGGGAACAAATCAAGAATACCGAACGTTCAGCTATGCAAAAACGAAAAATGCAGATCAATAGAAGCTCTGATCCAGTACTCCATGAACTTACAGGATTTTACACGAACTTGCAGGAAGTTGCAGGAAAAATGTTCCCATACTCCAAAATCCTCCAAAATCTTGTAAATGAGAGCGACTTTTGGAGAGTTGTGTAGAGAATGAAGTTACAAAATTTTACCCGAAGTTTTTCTTCTGGTAAAATCATGAAAAGTGTCGAGCAATCACTGGTTGACGTTTTTACAGGAAAAATGTTTTTTTTTGTTCCCGTACTTTTTGTTGTTACTCACATTTTACTCTCACTTCAGAGAGTAATTTTGCTGTTTGACAGTTTTACAGGATTTTTCACGAAAAGTATTGGATCAGAGCATGATCCAACTACTCAAGATCTGACAAGATGAAGCAAAAGAAAAAAGTAATTTTCTGGCTTACGTTTTTAATTTCGGCGCCATGTTATTTTCTGTGAAAAGTAAACAAAGAATATGAAGACAAAGCATAAAGAAAAACTGCAAGCAATGTTGTGCACATGTTTGTGCTAACCAATTTATTATTATTGTACGTGTTTTTGCATCCAATCACCGCGCACTTCATT